CGTTATTTAGATCATGTAGAGCGATAGATTCTGAATTTAATGATAAAACTGCTGTTTCGATAACAATTTGCTCATTAAAATGAAACGTTCCATTCTTATATTGATATAAAATGGAAATGGTATTTTTCCAACTGTGAAGAAAAACGACATCTGATTGATGATCACCATCAAAATCACCAGTAACCAATCGAAATAGTGTTTTAAAAAATCCAGTAAAAATCTGTTTCTGTAATTGAAAACTTCCATTAATATTACCAAAGAACACGTGCATATGAAAAGATCTGCCATCTAATATAGCTATATCTAAACAAGTATCATTATCAAAATCAACAACAATCAATTGTTTCGGATCAATAATAAATTCTGAAAATAATGTTAAAATCTGTACCGTGAACGTTCCAGCACCATTTCCAAAATAGAAATAAATCTTATCGCCTTTTTCACACACGCTAATCATATCCAATGTATTATCATTATATTAAGATCAATTATACTAATATCAACTGTGGGTTCAGCCAAAAATAATATTTTCCAATCTTGCAATTCAAACGGCTCACCGCTATTACCGAATAAAATATAGATAGATGTACTGTACATATTATTATTTACTAAAATGATATCGGCTTGTTCATCATTGTTCATATCATTAACATAAATCTGAGTTATAGTTATAGATATCCAAGTCGGTATGTATATCTGAGACGAGCAGTTAGAATTCGCGAAAAGTACATTGACCGTCGAATTACCATCACATGAAAAGATGAAATCAACTTGATTGTCATCGTTTAGATCAGCAATCAAATATGGACCAGAAATCATACATGTGCATAGTGGATTAAGTGCTAATCGTTGAACTTTCAATTGACATAGTGGCTCGAAAGATATTAATGTGCTAGAATATGTTGACATTGTTGTACTTAGCGACATATTTGAAGTATTACTGATTGGTATATTCTCTGTAAAATCGATCAAAGAAAAAAAAATGAACAGCTATTTAATTTGACTCTTACCTTGTCGAATATAATATATTGAAAAAGTAATAATCCCTATTAAAGTACTTAGTAGTAGCATAATGATAAATATGATCTTGGACATCGAGCGAGTATGTGTATATAGATTAAAAGAAATAATATAGTTAATTGACTGACCCGATTGTTATATTCGTTGGTTCATTGACACAATTCCAAGTAGTATGTTGTACCGTTGAATTCGTAGGATGAACAGTAACCGTTCGTCTTTTTCGATAATGATAGACATTTAGGCCAATTTGAATAATCTTTGGACAGATCCATCGGAGAACCATTGTCAAATCACCATGTAGACCAAGTATAAGAGTGAATATATTAAAAATATTAAATTTTTCAATAGTTGTATACGAACATGATAATGGTGAACATTGATCATAATACGATGAATAATTCCTATCTGTTGACCATCGTTCAATAACTAAACGATGTTGAAGTTCATCTATTGTTGTCTGTTTCAATGAGAATTGCTTGAGTTGTACATTTTGGAGACAAACCACACGAACAATTATCAACATAGATTAATGCTTCTGTAGGTGCACGAGTTTGTCTAGAACCATCTATGATATTGATATATTTGAAATTCGTCCCATAAGCTGACATAAGAGCATTTCCATGTATAATACTTTGAGTAAAGAAAAGAAGACGAGAAAATAGCGCAGGTGCATTTAATTTACTTTGTTCGATTGATATATTCAAATGATGATCAAAATTATGCTCCGAGAGAAGTTCAACAGTGACTAATAATGATGTTAAAAATTCATTTATAAAATTCTTCACTGTTCGTATAGAAAGTTGACATAAACCTTGAAGATATTGCAAATGAGTAGAAAGAAATCGACGATAATCTCTTTGTTCATATATAGTCAGATTAGGAATAAGACCATTTGTTAGATTAACTCGCCATTCTTTCGAAACAAATTTACTTAAACAAATCTGTAAATAACAATAGAAGTATTTATCCATTGAATAAAGATTCTTTTTTGTTCCTTACTGAATGAAAGATTGGTTTGATTTGAACAAATTGTTTATACGTTGATGCAATTCTTGAGCATGAACATTTGTTATATAATGACGTCATATGTGATCGTCCTTACATGACGTCACTACATATACATATCTTCTTGCGTTCCGATCGTACATATATATGACGTCATAAAATCATACGTTCATCCATGAGATCAGATGTTATCACATGATGTCATCTGTTTTATCCATGATATATGTGTCATGTTCTTTTTCCCTTTGAATCTTATATATAAACCTGGTCTTTTCATAATAAAGATTCGATTGAATATGAATAAACAAATCTTGATAAAGTCATTATTCTACCGCTGAACACTAAGTAGATATTGCCTTCTATCACATTTGAATTTATCACCATACATTCCTTTCAATTGAGTATAATACATAAAAGATGGTTGTTTAAAACTTGTTTTTAAAGAATATGGTTGAATGATTGTATAGAAGATCAAAATAATTAAACTGCAAATGAATAGGACGATGTAAAGACGAGTTGCCCATCGACCATAAAGTTTTGCTAATATTCGATCAATATTACTCCCGAAATCTCTTGATGAAAATATGTTTAATTCAATTAATGTAGTACGTAAAAGCTTTATCAGACTCTGTATTAATGCCTTTAATCGATTGACACGATTCTGTTGAACTAAAAGTAGCAATAGAGTAGTAGTTATGTTTTCATATACATAATGATTACTTTGTTGTGTTTGATTTGATTTTGTCTTCAATATTCTCAAGACTCTTAAGGTGAATTTGACGAGATAAGGTGTTAAAATACGTAAAGATAAAACAATTCCACCAATCATTGACACTAATATCATCATTATTTCAAGGAAAGTATGTTTGCGAATACTTTCTGAATAAGAACAATATATTGGTGCACAAGATTCATAGAATTTTTCATATGATGAAGTCGAATTCCAATCTTCAAGCATCAATTTATCAACAATCGTTGAAATCGTTGTATTGGGTAGATAATGACTCGTGGGATCGTGAATGAGTGGTTTAAAACGAGATAGTGATGAGTGTGATAGTCCATCAGTCACAGTTTGTGTTACATAGCTCAAGAAAAATAAAAAACAGTATTCATCTTCATATAAACATTGCAATGTTGACAAGAAAACAGAATCACGAGGAAGGCAACCTTCAACCCAACCGGACATGTTATATATGGGATACGTAGGAGGAAATATTTGATAATTAGAACGTGCAATAACTGCTGGTCTTTTACAAGATGGATTCACAGCACAAATATATGTTATTAAGCCTGAATTGATATCCTGAATACCATATAAAACAAATTTTGTCTAGAAATTAAAATGTTCAGATTTGTAGTTCATTATTCTAATGAATATACCTCGACTATTGGATAATCATTTGCTTGATTTTCGACCATTTGCACAACCAAAGTAGGATCGGAGAATGCCGCTGCTACTTGCCAGAATCCTCGATGAAATTGATTAACTTGTTGAATAATTTGTACGATATCTTTCTGTTAGAGCTGCTCTCTTTCGTGAGAGCGATGTTTATTCTCCACAAGAAAACACACACACCAGGGTTATATAGCGAGAAAACGAGAGCGATAGAGAGAGAGACACGAGAACAAGGGAGGAGGCGCTAACACGTCCCTCTCCCAACGAAACGTGTGTCCGCACACATTTTACAGAAAATAAAAGACTCGAGAACTACAAAAAAATGAAAATAAAATTTCGAACAGAGACGAAGTGTCCATGGTTGTTCATTGGCTTGGGTAGTTGTCGCTGTTGATTTGGTTTTTTTCTTTTCGATATTCGCTTCGCTGGTTCAGCTTTGCTTGTTTTGTTTGTTTGTTTGTTTATTTTTTTGAAATTTTTTTTTTTTTTTTTTTTTAATTTTTATCGCTGTTGTTTTTTCCATCTCGCCTCGAATTGTTTCTTGCCGAAGTAATCAATTTTCACGATTGATTTGGCCTTTTCTTGTTGTTCGACCGATCTGAATCCGATGGACACTGTATTTCGTCTATCGTCGATCTTGATTTCGTGGCTATGGTGTACTTCGTCCTCGGCCAATTGTGCTCTGATCCGGTGATAATCGTATTCTTCGTAAATCGGCCGTTTCATCTTCAGTTGAAACTGAGGGAGATGTTGCTTTTTCCATTTGAGTTTCTCATTTTTCCGCCGTTGTATTTCTTGTTTGCGTTGACGTGCTTCTTCTTCTGTTCGCTCGGGTTTTTGTTGACGTTCGGGTTCTGGTGCAGGTGGTTGTTGGATAACTGTTGGTCGTAGAAAATCTAAAAGTTCATCTTCATCCATCATGTTCAATAATTCGGGTTGATCCAACATTATTCTTTGCTTCGTCAACATTCCACCGTTGCATTCTTCTATTTGTTGTGACGGATGAGCAGATTCTTCTTCGAATTCAGATGCAGCTTCAAGTTCGAGATCAAGTTCAGTAATAAATGTAGGTGCTGGCGGTTGTTCAATTTCTTGTGTTGCTTCCTGCTTTTTTGTCGGGATGCTGATAATCTCTTCGTCTTCACTGATGTCACTAACATGATCGGAATGTTTCGGTGACTCGTCGGTTTGTTCTTGGTACATGTGAAAATATAATTCGGTGACGGATGTACAATCGTAGACCGCATAATCCTCCATGTTCCTTCGGGTTTGTTTTTCTATTTGTTGGTCATAAAATCTTCTTTCAAATAATTTGGTTCTCCATGTTTCAAGTGCCCAGTCCAATCCGCATCCCCATTGACTAACTGTTAATGATTTATCGACGAATTGGTTTAGCTTCATAATCACTGCTGTTTGCAACGAATATTTAATTTTTGTTGCACCATCGTCATAATAATCATCATAATAATCATCATCATCATGATCACCAGGTGTATCCCATGTTACGCCGGTATTACCGACACGACTTTCCGTTGCCGGATGCGTGATACCTTCATCTTCTTGATCCTGAAATAGAGCTTGTAGATTCTTTGGAATGATCTTACCTATTTTCACCCATTCTATGTGTTTGAAATCGTCAAACTCTTTTCGAATCGGGCCCCAACTGATGATTTCGTTTCCAGAGTTGAAGATGATGTTCCATAACTGCTTGATTTGTTCGAGGAGAGATGAAGTTGCATCGGCTAGGTGGAACGTCTCGATCAAGATGACTGTTGAGAAATTCCTTGAGTGGACCATTTGTATTTGAATCACCGCACCTGTATTTGGTCTACCATAATTCGTCTGTGATTCGGTGTCGACCGTGTAGCGGTGTGTTTCTTGTGCTTGTTGAATCAGCTTTTCGATGATGTGGATGTTGGTGCGATGATGGATGTGGATGATGTCGATGTCTGATGCTGGATGGTAAGGTGGGTATTGCTGACGACGTTCTTCATTTTTTCCTTGCTTTTTCCAATTGTGCTTGCGTTTCGAAGACCAGTTATCGAAATTTTCGGGTAATCTTCGTGGATTGCTAGACATGTTTGTTTTAGTAAAGTGAACTAGAGGAGCGGTCAGAGGTTAGATTTTCTTTTGTTCTCTTTGTCCTTGGGATTTTTCGTGCTTTTGTTTTTCGGTCATGTAATTCTTTGATTCCGTCGCTCTTGCGTTTCTATAAGTTTTCCGTTCTTCCATTTTCGTTTTTTCCCTTCCTGTCGTCGGTATATATATATATATATATATATATGCGCGTGTGAGTGGAACGCTTTGAAGATCACTACGTATATCTCGTTCTTTCCTGTTCTGTGATCGTGTGAATTCGACCGTATCGTGTTATTGCGTAATAATCGATTTCGTCCATATGAATCATTCGTCGTATCATGTCGTGCACGCGTGATCGTTATGATATATCGACGAGATGTCTATATGAATAGAAAAAAAAATAGAGATGTCGCTCGCACATATATAAATACATAATGTATATCATTGATAGCCCCATCTCATCAGTGAGAAGGGGAAACCTATCTCCCCGACATGATCTGCTAAATCAAATTCATACGTTTTATTAGTATAAGTACAAATGAACATTCTAATGAAGTCAATTAGTGTCATGGTCGATTCACACCTTTCCCGAGTGGGATGTGTTTAGTTATTTAAGTTCCATCGTTCGACTAATGGAACGATGATATCCATTGTAACTTGTTTCATTAAGGTTGTCTTCTTCACGTGTTGTACAATGAATGTTTTTCTTCCTAACTGTTCCGTGATTCTGAATGGACCTTCATATCGAATATCGAATTTGCTCCGCATATTTCTTGTTTTGATCAGAACTAAATCGTTGACTTTCAATGATAATTCTTGCCGATGTTGATCATATCGTGTTTTGTATCGTTGTTGCGCTCGTTGAATATTCTTCCTTGCTTCATTCGTTAATTTTTCAAGATAATTTTGGAGTTTCTTCCCTTGTTCCACGTCTTGTGTGAGTGAAATAAGTGCTTGTTGTTGGTCAAATGGAAGTGTTGCTTGTCGCCCATGCATCATTTCGAATGGTGTGAGTTTTGTCGTTGCATGGACAGACGTGTTATAATTGAACGTGACGAATTGTAATACTTCGTCCCAGTCCGTGCGTTTTTCATTGCACAGGCTTGCTATTTTGCCATCCACGGTCGCATTGAATCTTTCGATTTGTCCATTTGTCTGTGGATGGTATGCTGTTGTGTATAGGTGGGTAACTCCAAGTTTTTGGAATAAATCGTTCGTCATTTGAGCGGTGAAGTGAGTACCGTTGTCGGTTAATATGCATGTTGGTGTTCCATACTTCAGGATAACATCATTAGTAATAAAATTCACCGTTGTTGTCGCTGAACAATCCTTGACTGCTTTTGCGATGACGAATTTCGACAGGACATCAGTTAGCGATATAATGTATCGATTTCCATGTCGTGATGTTGGTGTTATCGGTCCATGGAAGTCCATGCTAAGTAATTTCCATATTCCATCTGGTGGTGATATTGGTTGTAATTTTCCTGGCGGTTTTTGGCGACGGTGGTTGTTTTGAGCACATGGTAAACATGATTTAATGTGATTTTCAATATCCGATACCATCTTTGGCCAGTAATATCGTTCTTGTATTCTTCTTATCGTTCTGTCGCGACCAAAATGAGCACCATTTCCTGGAGTATCATGATAGATCTTCAGGATGTCGGCGCGTATTCTTCCTTGTGGTACAAATGGTACTGATGGAAGTGGTGGTTTTTGTTTCCGCAACAGTAATCCATCCTCCAGAACATATTGTTTTTGGTGTTTTATATCAGTTTTTATTTGTTTCACTGTGTCATCATCTTCTTGTGCTCTTTTCAAGTCGTCCAAGTCAAATGGAACAATCCTATTCGAATCTTCGTTCGGCAGATCTTTCGCTTCTTTCCCGTCAGGGATGAGCTCATTTTGTTTTTGTAATTTTGCTTGAGCTCGTGTGACAGCTGTTATCATCTTCATTGTTTGATTCATTCCGATGGTGGTTGATCGCGATGATTCCGTTTGCGTTTCTTTGGTTTCGTAACTAATTCGATCATCCTTGTCTTCTTGTGCATCTTCCACCGGTGATCTAGATAGATAATCAGCCATGTTATTTTTCTTACCTTGGATGTGTTTCACTTTGAAGCGATATTCGGCTAAGCGTAGTCTCCAACGTTCACACCGTTTGTTCAATTGTTCCTTGTTCGGAAGGTTAACTAATGGTTCGTGGTCTGTTTCCAATGTAAATTCATGGCCACGTAAATATTTGTCCCACTTTTCAACGGCTTGAACAATTGCGTAACATTCTTGTTCAATTGTGGGCCAATTCACTTGTGCTTTGGTTAATTTCTTCGACATGTATGCTAGTGGTCGATCGCCATTTGGTGTAATTTGTAACAGGACCGCACCAATTCCATCGACTGATGCATCGGTTTGTAATTTGAACGGCATATTGTCGTCAGGTAAATTGAGCGTCAGGTCTGTTGTTAAGATGTGCTTCAGTTGGTGGAATGCTGCTCGTGCTTCGTCCGATAATTCAAATTTGATTTTCTTGTTTCCTTTTTGTTGTTGTAAGGTTGTTGGTGAATATTTGTGAAGTGGTGCAGCGATAAATGAAAATTTCGGGATGAACTTCCGATAATATTCAGCTGCTTTGACGAACCGAAATGCTTCTTCAGCTGATGTTGGTTCACGAACACCTGTGAGACCACGAATATTTTCGGGATCTGGTTGAATCGTTCCTTGTTTGACGATGTGTCCAAGAAATAGGATTTCCGTTCGTGCAATTTCACATTTCGTGATGTTCAATTTGAAGTTAGCGTCGTCCAATAGTGAACATACTTCTTCGATGTGTTGAACGTGTTCGGGGAATGTTCGGGAATATATGATGATGTCGTCGATGTAAGCCAACATATGTTTCCAGCGGTTCGGGCCAAGAATTTGATTGACGATGCGTTGAAATGTCGGTGGTCCATTTGTGAGTCCTTGAGGTAACACTTTGAACTGAAAATGACCATCTCGAGTTGAAAATGCTGTTTTCGGTCGATCTGCTTCGTCTAATGGTACTTGAAAATAACCCGATTTGAAATCGAATTTGCTGAAGTATGTCGCTTTTGTCAATTGATCATAGATATCATCCATTCTTGGTAATGGAAATGCATCCTTGGTGGTAATTTGATTGAGTCGTCGATAATCCACACAAAATCTTGTGGTTCGATCTTTCTTCTGTACCAATATGACTGGTGACGACCATGGAGATGTTGAATGTTCGATGATGTCATTTTTCAATAATTTTTGTGTTTCTTCCCGTAGCATTTCTTGGTCTCGATTAGATTTTCGGTAAGGTGGTGTATGTAATGGTCTATGTGTGCCAGTATCGATCGCATCCTTCAGAATGATGTTGATCTTTGATGATTTTCGGAGATCGAACAAGTTTCCATACTTCCATAGGACATTTGCTATTCGATTCCGTTGTTCATTGTCAGAAATATGTGTGGTTAATTCTCGAATCTGTTCACGTATCTCGTCTGGGTAACATCGTTCGCGTAGATGGTGAAATAAATCATTTCGCGTAGCGAATCGTTGTGCACAATTTCGACATTTCTTGTCGTCTTCATCTACTGTTGATGCTTGTAGATTTGTGTCACCCGCTACTTTCCCTTTCGAGATGAGCTGTTTACACGCTTTCCCATTTGAAATGCGTTTTGTTGTTGAGTTGGATGGCATGATGAGACTGACTGTCTGTGCCATCTGAGTCACCATACCTATCCGTGTACCTTCGGAAAGTGTTTGTCGTCGATTCGTGGCGTTGATGATACTAATTTTTGTTTTTCCATCGGTAATATTAAGTAATGCACATGCCGTAAATAATGCTTTCCGTTGTAATCGAGGATTGGGTTCAAATAACGCATCGTCCATGTTCGTCTGTTGCAGTTGTACTTCGACGATGTGCTCTGAAAAAGG